CCCAATACTGCAAAAAAAAAAAAAAAGTAAGACCAGTGATGTGGCCTTGGTCAAGTCTCTTAATCTCTCTAAGTAGGCCCTCATTCCTGTGACTCACAGGCACAGGAAGCATTGGTACAAACACTGAATGGGCCATGCATGCTTCACCAGAAAAAGGCTCATTTTTTACTCCCAACACCTTTTCCTTGGAAGATTACTGGGAAGGTCAAATAAAATAATGTAAGTTTAAAGTTTTTTCTTTAATTTTATTTTGAAAAGAATATAAATACTTTTATCTGCTAAGAAATAGTAAGTTGCCAAATATTATGTACTTACTATGTACCAGGAATTGTGCTAAGTGCTTTATATTTATTCATTCATTAATTTATTCATTTAATAGGTGAACACAAGAAGCTTCTACTATATGCCAGGTACTATTCCGGGCCCAGGAGATACAGCAGTGAACAAAATAGGCAAGTTCCTTACTCTCATGGTACCTATATTCTAGCAGGAGGGGATAGATAACAAATAATAATACAAATAAAATAAGAAGATATCCAGTAGTGAAAAGAGCGATGATGAAAATAAAACAAGTTGATCAGAGAGTGATTGATGGGCTACTTTTAGACTTGAGGTCAAAGAAGATATAGTGTATTTTGGAGTTTTCTGGCTGCTCAGCATGTGAACTCCCTTCCTGTATTTTGGGAGTCTGGAGGGAGGCAGAGTGCCCTCTCACTATGAAGTGAGAATGGTGGAGCCAAGATTCTCTTTCTGAGGCTCCCTTACACCTAGAGTGTGTGCATATGGCCCAGGCTATGCCAACAGACACATGAGCCCCAGACCTTAACTGGGATCTGCTGTCAATGAGTCAGAGGATCATGGAAAGTCCATGCTGGCAGGAAGAGGTGCTATAATTGCCATTAAGGTCCAGTCAGCTGGTGGTGGTGTAAGCTATATAAGTGGCAGCAGTGACCTCATGGACTGGTTCCGTGAATAATTCTGGCTGTGGGTCCTGGATGCTAACCAGTTTCCCTTGTTCCAGCCCATTCTTCAAGCTTGCTCTGCGGCCTTCCCTGATATTTTGTGAGTTTCCCTAATATCCTTTCAAGAATCAGCTAGAATTGGTTTTTGTTGCTTACAACTACAAATCCTGCCTGATACAGAGTGGCCCTCTGAGAAGATGACATTTAAGCTGAACCGTGAATGACAAGAAATCGCCAAGAACTAGGGGGATACACTTCTGAGGAGAGAGACAACTAGTGCTAAGATTAGTTCAAAAAGCTTGTATGGTAGATGCTACTATCATTTTATAGATGAAGAAATAGAGTCATAGAAGTGAGACAATTTTCACAACGTCGCACAGCTAATAAACTGGAGGTAGAGCTGGGATTCAAACCCAGAACTGTATGGATACTCTTAATTACTAAGTATATATGAATAATTTACTATGGTATGTAATTTCCTAGAGTAATGATCACTACGGGAATCCCCAAAAGAGCCAACTAATTTGTCACTACTCATTCATTATTTTTCTTAAAACATAAACTGAGTTTTTAGCAAGCACCAAGCACTGTGCTTGACACAAGGGAATTAATGAGATGAAAGATATAGTACCTATACTAAGAAAGCAAAGAATCAAAGGCAAGGGACTTTAGGGAATTCCTTGGCAGTCCAGCGGTTAGGACTTGGCGCTTTCACTGCCGAGGGCACGGGTTCAATCCCTGGTGGGGGAACTAAGATCCCACAAGCCGCATGGCGAGGCCAAACAAAAAATAAAAAAATAAAAAAACAAAGGCAAGGGACTTTAGCTAATATTGGTGTGTGGCTTGGAAATACTAAAAGGAACAAGGGAGGTAAAAGCAGAGAAACCAGGCAAGCAAAACCCACTACAATTCAGGTAAATGATAAAATGGAAACTGGGATTTAAAACAATATCAGATTGGTAGGCAGAGGTTTAAAACCCAAAATGTCAAATTTAACACAACTACTGCTCAGTTGGTATTGTGGTAAACATTTCCATTCCCATCCTGAGAAGAAATGATAGCACACTGGCAGATAGCTCATTCTGGAACACAGCCCACACTCTCCTCTCTTAAGGGCAACAGTGCCTTTCCGCAAACTTTTAGAGGCAGACAAGCATAACTGGAAACACTTCTAAGCAGAGATTATTTAAAAGGCTCACCTCAGGAGAGAAATATGCTCAAATATACAGGGGACATAACTAGTTTCATACTTCAGTCCAAAGACTCTCAAATACAA